AACACAATGTCTTAACACTATGTACTCTACACATAAAGATATATGATGCTTTCAATATATACTCTATACACCTTGAATGCTTTTGTAAGTGCGGCGACTATACTACTACTGAACCACCGAGGCAACCCTTATGTTCTTACTTCTCTCTGTCTTATTTCCTTCAATTGGTCTGTCTAAATTTCAGTTCATGGTTACTTCACAACCCCAGTTCTTTAGGTAGCATGGCGAGGGTAGGCACATGGGTACTGTAATTCTGGTATCAAGGTCACTTGGACAAAATAAAGGTGGACACCGAGGTGAAATGAATACCCCTAATATACTCTAAGCAATTCCCATCAGATATTCTCGCTTCTTACAACATTACTGGTGTTACTTGGCATTACATTACATTACCAGACAAACTTACATCTGATACTTCAAGAGACTGTTGTTAGTACATATGAGATAGACTCACAACACACAACACGTTATTACTGATACCAACAAATTACATGGATTCATTACACAACATGGGATAATTATATTCCACATAATTATCCCCAATCATATACAACAAACACTGTGGACCATATAACTGTACGGCGTGTCCCAGGGTAGGACACTGGCGTCTCATAACTGACGACCGCTGTTATGATCGGTGGTAGTCGAACACGTGGCGAGTGTCTGGGGTCTAGCCCCACGATGTTGACTGGATCAGTTTAATACGGCCGAATCGGCGACATCGTCCCATATAGCTAACTGCTAGGTATCCACCGACTCCGGGCAGCCGGTGGGGTGTTCAAATAACCCACACACTGGATCTGAGACAAAGTTGGAGAAGCGTCATGGGAGGCATGGTGATGACTCAATCACAACAAATCTTTCGTCTTGCAACGTCAGATGACAGTTACCTTACCAGTAATTCTTACACTGAGTAAATGACAATTTCACTGTTACAACATGAACACTGATACTCACAAAATTGACTAAGTCAAACTGAATGGCTATATCGGCGGGAACACACGCCTACATACCTGAGACAAAGTTGGAGAAGCGTTACGGGAGGCTGTCTCCCTCCTCGGCATGGGTTTTTATACCCATGAGTTGCCAGAGGTGGCTACTCACGCAATGACAAAAATTACATACAAACCCACTGTTAAACATTCAAAGATGACCCTCAGTTGACACGGGTCTGGCGAATTACTAAGTTGATTTACACAAACTAATTCAAGATTGGGCTTGCCAGGAGAAAGTGGAATATACGTATTGACAACGGTGTTCACAAGGCGGGACTTACGGAGGGAGCCTTGGTGTAAAACGTTGAGAGGGAAAAACGCGTTTCTTCCTAGGGATGTTTTGCGGGCGTGAAGTATAATAAGAATCAACAGGTTTAAAACAGACCAGCAGTCAATGTGACCATGACAAAGCTCCCCCTTTCCCCAAGATTCTTATTATGCGGTAGCGTTCGCCAAACATGTACAGTAGTTACACAGATTCTTTAAATAACTGTTACCTTTTGTCATATTTTCACACTACATACACTCATAACAACACCTCAGGACTATTACAGGCATCTGGTACAAAACGGCATACAAAACAAGAACACAATGGTTACATACATGGGATAAACAGTAGTTTAAAAAAACAACCTATTATCACTGACAACAGTGAATAAGGCAACTAAATACAGGTAAATGCACATACATAGGAGAATAATGTAATGATATAGAAAAAGCATAAAAATGAGGTTACATACATAACATAAAAAATTTGTTACACAATACACACTCTGGAGATACAGCTTCTCATATCAATAAAGTTTCATTGAGGAGATTGATCAAATGCTTACTCGACACCACTGAGATTTAACTTAGACTTCTCAAACTAGGACCCCATCGACCCGAAGGAATGATTTGTTTGACTTTATACCAAAAAGTCATTTCCTACTCGCGAGAGGCAGCAACATTCAAGGGATCCCGAACGAGCGGAGATATTCCCAAGAATACAATACAATACGAAACGGTCCTTATGGGAGCACAACCAAACCAAAAAACTGTCTGTACTTATGGCACTTGCCATTTAGCGGAAATCGGTGCCATGCTTGCGACCGACTCCACCTAAAAGTCACGAACACTACTCCTATACACAACAACAAGCCTAGCTAGGACTCAACACACAAAACTTGAGAACTCACAACTGGTATCTTTACTCAAACTAGGAACAGATACCCATCAGACGATTGCATAACAGCCAATCCATCTTCCAATCCCTCTCCAGAAAAAAAAATAAAAATAAAATAAAATTCACAGATACCTACATACTCACAAACATTCCACACTCATATGGGCAAACAACATACTCACTTTCCACAACTTACTGATACAAGGCAACAACACATTCTCTCACTTTCCAGTTGTACTTCTAAATTGCAACACAAATATGCAAAACATCACTCTTCACCATGCACATCAACAACCAATGCATTCCAGTTTAAAGGTCTACAACCCTTTAAAGATATCTCGGCAACACTGATGCCAGTGTCTCACATAACTAGTAAGAGAGGCATTCCTTACTCTTATTCCCTTCTACACCTCCCTGTCCATCAGGCCATTCACTCTCCCCCTGACAAAGCCAACCTCTTTGGCACCTTATTCTCCTCTAATTTTGTCTTATTAACTCTCCTCCTTTAGTTTACAATCTCTCTTCCCTTTCTCTTCGCCGTAATGTTGCTTCACTCTCTCTCTTTTACAGGTACTTTAACGGGCAATGTTTGGTGGATTTGGCATCCTGTGTACCGCCGGCAAGGCCGTGGGTTCGTAACACACGTCTTGCCCCACCGTTTCTCTGTGGACGTCGGTCACATCAGAATAACCCGTTATAGTACCTCCTTCTTTCCTCACACAGCCAAACTGTGGAATGTTCTGCCTTCTTCTATGTTTCCATGCTCTTACAATCTGTCTCACTTTTAAAAGCTGGTTTTCCGGCATCTTCGTGGTGTAGATTAATACAGTATAACCTTTTTTTCTATATTTACAATTTCTTTCCGTTCTTTTTTTTTTTCGCCCCCCAGGCTCCGTCGTGGGTCGTTTGACCTGTGCCCGGGTGGGCTAATTCCCGTAAAAAAAAAAAAAAAAATTATGAAACAACTGGTGGTGAGACCTGGGTGTCATTCCTGTGAATGAACATGACTCCACCGACGTACTTCTCCACTCTACACATCAACTTATCGGACACAGATTCTGAGCGGGCTGCCCTGAACTGTTCCCTTGTGACGGCCATCATGCCTGGAGGTCACAACAACTCGCTGTAACTACACAACACGGGCACAGTGCACACCTTCAAATACAATCGGATTACTGCCTAACTGACCTTCTAATACACAAAAACTCTTGAAATACTGCTTAAATATTACTCACTCCCCCAGTGATAATACTGGATATGTGAACTTTTACTTTAGGGCTTCACTGAACAATACACGAGGAAAACATCACTGTACTCTGTTGTCACTTTTCAAGACACACTGTGTAAACTCAAGGCAAGGGTACTTACTATTGACACTGTGTATGGTGCAACACTGTATGAACTCATCCCAAATTACACTGTACTCTAGAAAATCAACCAACTTTAAAAAGAACCATAGACATTTCCCTTACTGAGTCATTCTCACAAAAAAATAATTGACAATATTGTAATACTTTACGAGACTGTCCCCTCGGTACTCAACAAGTATTCACTGTCTTTTCAATTGCAATGATTTTAGCACTGTTATCACTTCACACTGTACTCTGTTATACTCACAATTGGGGATCCTTACATGTACTTTCAACAATCCATTTTCAAAGATTGCATTCTTTTATAGATGTCCATATCACCACAGAGTCCTCAATCCATCAATGCAATTGCTGAAATTATACATGTATTAGATCTCAAATTAACATAAAACACACTTACTGACAATGACTATAAGTCTACACTGCTAGAAACTAATGCCCTTGGCACTAAAATTATAAGCTAATAGAAACAACACAAAAATACAATATACTCGGAAATGTAACACAACTCTTGTTATACCAATAAATTCACTTGTCAAAACTGACGTCAACTGAGAACTAAAACACTTTCATTTGAAACTACTACAAATACATCCAATATATGTCACAATTTCAAATAACACTAAGTTACATAACCTTAGTACAATTGTGGCCTTCCGGTGACACTCATAAATGAACACTGCCCACAACACTCTTAACACGGCAGTTGTTCACTGTTCGCTCATTGTCTGTAAATATCAAAATATTAACTCCAGTGGTCACAACAGTTGCTATGGTACCAGTGTAGGAAGGCACTAAAAAATTATTACCTTGGTATACGACCAACACTTTCCTGAGATTTCACAAAAAGAATAAAAAAAATACAAGTTAGGTAGCTGACCTTTGTTTTTCAGACACTTCAACACACTGAACATTTCAAGTACTGTACACTTTACTTTAAAAAGATTTCTAATTTCCTTGAAGCAATTGTTCTAACCTGACTTCAAGTAAAGTATTTACCTTGCCTGTTATTTCAACTTCTCCGTAAAACCACAAAAAAATGTTTTTCCACATTTCCTTGACTCTCTTTGCACACAACAATATTAGGACCCAATGAAGTAATTAAGTTCCTACTTAATTAGCACAGAATTACATACTACACTGTACACTAGAGAAATACAGACAAAATTATTAGCAATCTGAAATATTCATTAGTTACAGTGAAATGGTTATTAGGTACCCGTGCCACCATTGTAAAGGCGGGGGCTCTCCTTCTACTCACTACTGAACCACCGAGGCCACCCTTATGTTCTTACTTCTCTCTGTCTTATTTCCTTCAATTTTTCTGTCTAAATTTCAGTTCATGGTTACTTCATAACCTCAGTTCTTTTGGTAGTATGGTGAGGGTAGGCACATGGGTATTGTAATTCTGGTATCAAGGTCACTTGGACAAAATAAAGGTGGACACCGAGGTGAAATGAATACCCCTAATATACTCTAATAAATGGTTTATTAATATGAAATTAAAGCAGGGAAAAAGGTGGCACTAACATACAACTCCAAGGTGCTTTACTCAACTGCAATTCCCATCAGATATTCTCGCTTCTTACAACATTACTGGTGTTACATGGCATTGCATTACATTACCAGACAAACTTACATCTGATACTTCACTAGACTGTTTTTAGTACATATGAGATGCATTCACAACACGTTATTACTGATACCAACAAATTACATGGGTTCACTACCCAACATGGGATAAATATATTCCAGATAATTATCCCCAATCATATACAACAAACACTGTGGACCATATAACTGTACGGCGTGTTCCAGGGTAGGACACTGGCGTCTCACAACTGACGACCACTGTTATGATTGGTGGTAGTCGAACACGTGGCGAGAGTCTGGGGTCTAGCCCCACGATGTTGACTGGATCAGTTTAATACGGCCGAATCGGCGACATCGTCCCATATAGCTAACTGCTAGGTATCCACCGTCTCCGGGCAGCAGGTGGGGTGTTCAAATAACCCACACACTGGATCTGAGACAAAGTTGGACAAGCGTCATGGGAGGCACCGTGATGACTCAATCACAACAAATCTTTCGTCTCGCAACGTCAGACGACATTTATGTTACCAGTAATTCTTACACTGAATAAAAGACAATTTTACTGTTACAACATGAACACTGATACTCACAAAATTGACTAAGTCAAACTGAATGGCTATATTGGCGGGGAACACACGCCTACATACCTGAGACATGGAGAAGCATTATGGGAGGCTGTCTCCCTCCTCGGCATGGGTTTTTATACCCGTGAGTTGCCAGAGGTGGCTACTCACACAATGACAAAAATTACTTACAAACCCACTGTTACACATTCAAAGATGACCCTCAGTTGACGCGGGTCTAGCGAATTACTAAGTTGATTTACACCAACTAATTCAAGATTGAGCTTGCCAGGAGAAAGTAGAATATACGTAATATTACGTATTGACAATGGTGTTCACAAGGCGGGACTTACGGGACTTACGGAGGGAGCCTTGGTGTAAAACGTTGAGAGGGAAAAACGCGTTTCTTCCAAGGGATTTTTTGCGGGCGTGAAGTATAATAAGAATCAACAGGTTTAAAACAGACCAGCAGTCAATGTGACCATGACACTTTATCTGTAATCAGAAATCTAACTTAATGTAAAACATATGCATTCACTCTCAATTTCAAATCTCTGAACACCATCTGAGGTATTAAGAAATATCTGAGTCTCTGAGGTACGTGAGAGAAAACGGAGGACTCAGGCATGCTGAAGCAGTGAAAAAACGTATGTCTCAACTGGGGGACTCGATAAAAAAGTCACAGCTACATGTTTTATGGGCTACTGAGCGTAAAATAATCGTCTGACTTTATGTTATTTAATATGTACGACCGTGGTCAGTACAGTTGGTGAGCTCTGAGGTGACTAGAGAGGCCGATACGTGACCGGCAGGGGACTTCCACAGATATTGCACGTGTGTAGGGCTACATCTAGTGCGGGAGGGGCGCTTGTCTGCCTCGGTATGCAATCGAGCTAATTCGAAAATATTGACACCTACTCGTGTGGTGGTCCTCCAAGTTTAGCGGTGTAGAGTAATCGTCTCCCAGATGAAGGGGTCGATGTGGCACTTTTTCAGGTTTGTCTTAAGACTATCCCTGTACCTTTTCAGTTGCCCGCCAGCTTTACGTTTACTATTCGTTAAGTGACTGTAAAGTTGTCATGGGCACAGTTGTACTGATAATATATGTGTGTGTGTGTGTGTGGAATCCACGAATACTGAAAAAAGTTTTAAAATATAAGTAAGACTCGATTTTCATTTTTCTTACGTCTCTTAATTTAAACCGCGGGTCAATCTTTTGTAATTTTCATATAGAACTTTAGAACTGTATCACACCACGAATAGAAACCGTATGAACATCTTTTATGATACAACAAGAGTGTTTCCACCGTCAATAACATTCCAACATGGCAGGTTGCTCTCATTCAAGACCACATTATGTTTGGAATTATGTTAAACATAGTAGTGGTTATACTGTACGAAAACTCAAATATTATACCTACACTGAAATAAAACGCTGTGTAGTATAACAGCGAAGAGTATATTATGTAATGCGATTTTAGAGTATGTTTAAGATGGGGATTAATAGATAATTATTTATTTAATAAAATCGTCATACAAGTTTACATCGAACCATTGTGTATTTAGAAAATACAGATGCATAATGTACATAGACGGTACAGGTAGATTATAAAACACTGAACATTGCTAAAATATCTTAAAATAATAAGTTAGGATATAAATGATACACTTCACCAAAGTAAATCATTTAAACATATTGACACTTTCTTTATCCATTTTTCGACGTTTGAATATCTGGCTTGAAACATTTCTGAGATTTTTATTATTGTGTCTGTATCTTGACTGTTGGACATTTAAGAATTTTCCCCTTCCCTACCAAAGACACTCCTCGCACCTTTGACATGAATATTGTATGTATCAACTCGCCTAAGTTCCACCACTGCCTTATGCCATTTTCTTTTGCTGGGTGGAAGTTTTGATGAACTACTCTTCCTCCTTGCTTGTACTAATTACTTCCTGACGGTGATGACGAGGTCCTGGGGCTTTGGGAATTGTTGGTTGGGTAACGGCCGGTAGTCCAGGTCAACCTTGGAGTTCTCCAACGGGGAGAAGGTAAAGTTCTGCAGAAGCGCAGCCGAGAAGCTGAAAAGTTCCATCTTCGCCAGGGCCTCCCCCAGGCACCTCCTCTTACCTGGAAATAATAGATCAGTCACTCGCCAATTACATTACAAATTATGATGTTAACAGTGTAAACGAATCTTGTCAGAAATATGACTATCTCTCTCTCTTTCTCTTTCTCTCTCTTGTTAAACTTACCGACTCCGAATGGTAAGAAACCATCCTTCGGTACATTGAGCTTGCCAGATTCATCCAGGAACCTCTCTGGTCTAAACTCTTCAGGATGGTCCCAGTATTGGGGGTCACTATGGCACGACGCGATACTGCCGCTCACCATCGTTCCCTGCAAGAATTTCAAGTCAAAATAATTCAAACCTTCAATAATAAAAGGTTGAGTAGGATAACAAACAAATATAATTATAGAATAGTGTGTAAAGGACTCGTTGTTGTCATTTTGATACCTGTACCGTACCAAATCGTCAAATAGATAAAAACCACAGAGTGAACTATCTCGATTTTAACATAATTTACCACTCCAGTGGTCTATTAACTTTGGGGTTAAAATACGATATTTATGTTAATACCAGATTTTAAAATTTTCATAGTTATATTATTCAGAGCATAAATTTGATCAGTGTCATTACTCTTCAAAGAACTAAAGTGAAACCAAAAACAACACTACATTAATAAACTAACCTCATATCTCGCAGGTGGCATAATATCGCTGCTGCGTTTCACAGTAGTATAGCGTCACCTGCATATAACAGTATCCCTACCATACACAATTCCCCTTTTCTTGTTACTTTACCAATACATTAAACATTTAATTGTAAAATTTATGTGACTGGTATTTATACTTGACAAACTAGAGCCCACATTCCATCATGACGAACATTTGCATTTTAGTTTACCCTGGGAATAAGGTATCCTCCAAGGTACATGTCCTGAGCCGCACAGTGGGGCACACCTGTTGAGGCAAGAGACGCCACGCGATGGACCTCATGCAGGGTGGCGTCCAGGTAGGGCAGTCTGATGTATGAGTAATATGCAACATTAGTTTTAAAGGTGTAATACTATGCCTCTATGATTTAATTTGAAAGGTTGTGTACAAGAGTTTGTTCTTTCTCTTGCAAATTTGACAATACATTTAACGTAGCATGTAATTAGCATTTAGAGGATTGGTTTTCAAATAAAGTGTACCCATATTCAAAGGAAAGCTAGTTTTTATGAGGAAAAATATTTTACGTCCATTTTTAGCACGGAAACGTTTATATAATTATATAATTTAGATATGATTCGTGAATTGATAAGAAGAATATACCAAGAACAATAGGCTGTACTAACTGAGACCTGTGCTGATGGGAAGGTAAGGTGTCCAGGGGCACCACCTCGTCCATTTCCTGCTGTATGCGCTGCTGGACGTGAGGCTTGTCGGCCATGTGGAGACACACCCACAGTATCATGTTGGAGGCCGTGTCGAAGCCCGCCGCGAATAGGTCAAAAATCCCTTTCCTTAAGTCTAGCTCTTGGGGAGATAACGAAAAATCAAAGTTGCATTAGATTTATGACGCCTACAAGAGAGAGAGAGAGAGAGAGAGAGAGAGAGAGAGAGAGAGAGAGAGAGAGACCACTATACTTAACAGGCTGGCAGAATCCTTACCAGTAAACACTGAGTCTGGATTATCTTGTTGGGCTTCCATCTCCAGCAGGTACTCGTCAATCACGTCCCGGGGACTGGATGGTTCCAAGCTAGATTTGTGGTCCTCGATGATTTCCTGTGAGAGAAAACTTTCAGAGAGAGAGAGAGAGAGAGAGAGAGAGAGATCGCTGGGCTTGAAAATACTGGAATTTGTAGATCACGTTCTTCTACAAATAGACTTGAAAGGACCAGATTTAGAATAACATAACATACTCTCGTCCCTGTACTGTAGCTTCATCTGTGTAGGGATATCCGGCCGTAATATATACGAATATGTCGTCCTTAGATTTTAAACACATTTTCTTTTAATTATAAGATGTTTCGCTTTTACTTGAACTTCTGAATTCGATACGTCGAAAGAGTTTAATATGATAGCTTTCAACTGATCAAGTGTGAACTCCTGAAGGCAGAAGAAATTTTTTTAATAATCCTTTTTTACTCTCATCCCAATCTGTACTTTTACTTTCCACCTCATCTTTATTTATAAAAATATTATCAAAACAGATATCTCAAGTTATAAATTCGTCATCTCGTGGGTGTACCAGTAATGATATCAAAAGCCTCACCTTCATTAATTTGTTGGCTTTCTTTACTCCACAGTCTAATTTATCTTCATTGACGAGTCGTCTCCGGATGGCGCTTGGTAGATAATTGAGCCATGGAAAGATGTCAAAAAGAACCATTATTGCCAGGTCGTCTTGGAAACTGCTAATAAACCCGGCGAATTCCGAAATTTCTTCATCGTGAATGTTGTATCGTCGACCTATTGAAGGAATCTTTGATGATAATACAATAATACCCATGATTGGCCTTAAATATAGCACGTTACACGACAAATACTAGCCTGCGTAGTGGAGAGATATCTATACAGGGTGTTCCGTAAATACCTTTCATAAATAAGGGGGGTATATTCCTGAGACATAAATAAAGATAAATGACTAAATGACCAAACTGTCAATTCTCAATATTTTCGGAGTTACAGCATATGACAGGTTTACTGAAATACACAAAAACTTGCTGGGATTCAGTACCGTAAGATGTTATTGTGTAAAAATACTCACTTGCCACCAGCTGCCAGATGACGTTAAGGATGGCGATTTTGAGAGATGGAGGAGGGAAGTGTGTGGGCTTCTCAGTGTAATTGCGGATATCATCGACCAGTTCCTGAGCCTCCGTCAGGATAACATCGTCCATCCGGGTCTTACCCATTCCCATGTCACGCAGGTGACGCAGGAAGAACCGTCTGAGTGTGAGCCACGACGGCCCGCTCCTGAAGATCACACCTTTGGCACCATGGGCAAGGTTAGTTAGTATCGTCTAGGCAAAGGAAGGGCATGTGGGAAAGCAGAACAATATGTTTTTTGGGTCTTAACCCCGGTTTTCTGAGATTATGTGACTGATCTGTGAGGAGATATTGTCAAGTTTACTATATACTCTGAGGACTCTGGACAATATTTTGCCGTTTCCTGTCCAAAATTTTTTTTATCAGCCTGGAGTATCACATGACCAAATAAAATATAATGACAATAATCATCTTGATCTGTTGAAATAACATTTTTAAAGATGGGAATTATTCATTATCAAATTGTGGAAACCTGTATTTGGTAGGAGGATGTTAGTGGTGGCGGGGAGGATTAAGAGGTAGATATGTGTCTGCTAAAAGAAGGCACTGAAACCCACCTGCCTCTTCTCCTTCTGAGAGAAAATGAAAAACTTTCAGCATGGGTCGATCACTGAACTCAATCTTAGAAAAAGCTTCTTTAATAAGTTTGTAGTTGCAAAGTAAGATGCTTTCCCAATTACCGGATCGAAGTCTGAAAAAATAAACATAATCATTCTACTAGTATTGTTGTGTGATGAACGATGATGGTGATGTAGGTGTGGTGGTGGCGGTGGTGTTAGTGTTGGTGGTGGTAGTGTTGGTGTCGTGATGGTGGTGTGAGCAAGCGAGTTTTCCCACAGGATGGTGCAATGCGCCTGGTATGCCAGCATTTTGAGAGTGTTAAGGTGTAGGTCGGGCTTCTGGCAGGGTTCTGCTACTCTGGACAGCAGGAGGTCATCATGCCACCCGAAGGCACTGGACAGGGTGTAGGTTTCGCGCACCCTGACCCCCACTCAAATCCACTCACTGTGTAGGCTTTTGCTCCACACTTCACTTCATCCTTTCATCATCATCATGCCAAGCCCTACCGGACCTGCACGTGATGAACAGCGAGACTTCTCAACAATTTCCGTGCGTCTGAGCAGCCTTGCACTACTCACCCCTGTTCTGGAAGAACCTAAAATTGATGGCCTAAGCAACTGACTGTACCGCTAGCTCCTGGGCGGCAGGCTGCGGCCGCCAGGACATTCCTCTTACGCAACCAAAGTTATAATAATATTAGTAATAACAGTCCTGACAGACACCGCGTACCACTCACGATCGCGACGTGGAGTGGACTGCGCTGTGAAAACCTCCCTGTTACAAAACATCACTTGAGTTTCGTATAGGAATTAGGGAGAGGCTGATGACCTGGTGCATTCCCCTGGTCAAGGATTGATGCACCACACTCATCAGTGCTTACGCTCATCACTGGATGCAGAAAACAAAGTTGTGGGAACAGTATCTATATCCCTTCTCACGGTCGCCGGGAAGATACTCGACAGAGCACATGACCGAAAACGTTCTCCCTGAAGTTCAATGCCGTTTCAGAAAAGATTGCAGTACAACGGATTTGATCTCCGTTGTGAAACAAATCTAGGAGAAATGTCGAGGGAAAAATAAGGATCTTTTCATGTCCTTTATTGACCAGATTTAGGCTTTTGACGCAATCAATCGTGATCTCTGGCACTTAAATAATCCTGGTTGTCCTGACTCGCCACTCCCATAACATACTTGACGAAACGAGGGTTTCCTCCTCCAGTACAGCCTTGACGGGAGTCTTTTTGACTTGATGCATCACCAATCACACAAAAAAACACAATACAACAGATCCTGGAGCTACAATATACAGACGACTGCTCCCTACTATTCACTCCCCATTGGCCATGCCACGTGCATTCGATGTGGTCTCAGCCATCTACAGGGCCGTCGGTCTAAAAGTCATTACAGTCCCAAGAAGACTGAGGTAATCGTTCAGTGTGTTGCACCACCTCCTTGGGCCCAAGTGTTCACCTTCGACCGCGAAAAACTCAAAGTCGTGCAGCATTTAACATACCTTGGTAGTATCCTCTCTCCAAACTACACAATCTAGTACGACATCCAGGCCCTCATTAACCAAACATCAACCGCTTTCGGGTGCCTAAGGTCAAGGGACTTTCAAAACCACAACCTCATGACGAGCACCAGGGCAGCCGTCTACCATGCAGTTTGCGTCTCCACACTGCTTTATGGGTCGGAGACCTGGACTCTATACAGGCGCCACATAAAGATCTTGGAAGCCTTCCATTCAGGTGCCTGCAACACATCCTAAGGCTGTCCGGGGAAGACTGGATATGATGAAATATTTCTACACACTCACACCACCAGTATGGAATCCATCCTTGCCAAACGAAACCTCCGCTGGCTCGGACAAGTGGTCTGAATGCCCGAACATTAATGCCTCGCCTGGCCAGACACTTTTTGGCCATCTTCACGCAGGCAACCGGTCCTCCGGCGGACAGCATAAGAGATTCAAAGACCATACTAAGGATCTATTAAAGAAGTGCGAGATGCAACCTGCAAGCTTCGAGAGGCTGGCTGCTCACCTGTGCCAGCGGTATTAAGCACTTGGAGGACAACCTCCAGGAGGTGCGTCCGATGACACCAAAGAGCTGCTGGAGCCGCCCTTCTTGGCCTTCAACACCCCTGTCCAACATGCGGCAAAGTGTGCGGCTCTCGTATCGGCCTTCATAGCCACATGAGGTGGCACAAACACTATCGGCGTTAACCCTATCATTCATATACCTGGAGCAACGTCGTCATACACGACGATATACTGCCATAAACAAGTGGGTAAGCAAGTAATGTGGTGGTGGTATTGGTAGTTAATGATAGAGGTTGTAGTAGTTTGTGGTGGTAGTAGCCAGGCCTCAGGAGCCCACATTCACTCGATAAATATGTAGGTCTGCTATATTTCTTTCCACATTTATTCGAGACAATATGACATATTCACCAAATGTCCTTTCTACTCAAAGTCTTTACTTGCACTGACAATTTAGATTGACTTCTGGTGCTGATGCTGAACTATTATATCGAATGAAATAATGGCTATTTCATGTTGTTGTTGTTTTTTTTATAAAAACCCTAATGGAGTAAATATAAACAAGTCGACTGTTACCTTATAATGTCGCCATATTTCTGGCGGAGTTCCTCCACCTGTTTGGCTGTGGTGACGGGGATCGTCCCGATGATGGGGTACCGGCGGGGACCTGCGAAAGCACATAAAGGTCAAAGTGGACTTGAAAACTACTTCGAATTCAAGAAACATCTGGGAGTCGAGGAGGACCAGCAGAAAATGAGGGTTAATGAGATACCTGAAGGACAAACAGGTGTAAACAAGAACGTGAAAGAAAAGTTTTATGAGAAATAAAGAAATCTGAACAATACACGGAGGACGGAGAGACTTGTAGGAGTGAGCAGAAGTCCAGAGAGATATTCAGGAGTTGCGATGCTCTGGTGGACCCAAATGACACTAAAGAATTAAAGGTAAAGAGCTGCCAGATTCTGAAGGTTCACACGATGAATATTCCCTGTAAGTTAATGTCACATTTCGCCACCACAAATTCGCGGGAAAGTAAAATACCCACCTCCCACCATGCAAGAAGCTGTCGCCCTAGAGAGCGTCACTTCTCGACCAATCACCGTTGCGTAAATTAAATGTGACGTCACAACCCACCAAAACCAGGGTATAGAAGCCCCGGCATGATCATCATTATTCAATCACTCATTCCCTCTATCACTTCACTCTCCAGCACCCATTCAGCCTGTGTGTGGATCTCAATTATCAACTACTGAACTCCAGCAAACGGTTTTCTTTTCGTATCTGCTATCTACAGCGATGTCCTTTCTCGCATTTTATCTCGTCAAAGTGATCATTTCAGCCTTGGTGCTATTAGTGAAAACTCACCAGTGAACAGTGATTGTTACGCCTCTCTTATAAGAGATACCATGTCTGAGACTCTGAACTCAGGTACTAATGCTCGTCAATATACAAATCCACCTCAGTGCTCTTGTTAATGTGTCTTTTATTTTGTCACCGTTTAAATCTTTGTGCATTTAACTATACCTGGCGTAGGACTAGAGTCTTGTTAAGACCTAACCTTATCCAATTGTTTCTGTGTACAGTATATATTAATGTTTAAGTGTAATTATGAAAAAACTGTTGCTGCATGTTTAACTACCCTCGCCATACCTGAAATCTGAAGTATTACCATACCAACTTTTATCTTTCTTATTCAATTTCGCTGGAAACACATATACTATGTTCACAAGAGGACTCACTTGCATATTTCATTAAGTATTTCTTGGAAGTTCTAATTAAACATTAAACTGTTGACAAGAGGTTTCGGTAAAATTTCACTTATTGCCACCCAAAGAATTTTGGGAACTTTATGGTTCCAATCAATAGTTTAGACAATTTTGAAATCCTTTACTTCTATGACGTTTCATTCGCAAACGACCTAACCTAGCCTCCTAACCCGGGGCTCCGCCCCCCAGGCCTCCATCCACACCAACCCCCGATATAAACGAGTATAAGTCGTTTGCGAGGGAAACGTCATAGAAAAAAAGTATCTTAGAATTGTGTAAACTATTGGTTGCAACAATAAAATTCTCAAAAATCTTTGGGTGACAACAAGTGAAATAATACCGGTTTCTTATACTGTACGTGACATTATTTTCAGAATATTTTGTTGTGCTTTATATTTAGTTTGAATCAAGCAGCTAGGTACAGTCAAAGAAAGAAGTCGTGTTACGTACCCCTAGCATTATGTTCCGAAACCCTTGAAACCCTTGACGAAGAATTTGGGAAGTGACAGTGAAGCTTCGAGGTTCATGTCTGAACGGGGAACATAACAAAATTCTACGTCATGGGTTTCAGAACATAAGGCACTGTAAGTATAAGACGACTTTTTTATTTGAAATTATATATATGCATCGAACAAACGAATCACATGAATATTAACACCCCGAGTTATTTCACCTTAAGAGTAACCACCAGAACGGTAAATTAATATTAACGCCCCCGAGTTATTTCACCTTAAGAGTAACCACCGGAACGGTAAACTAAGCTAACCTAACATTATACCAAGGGAGCTAGGATAGTTTAGGTTAGCGTTAGTGTTAAATCATAAAGGTAGATTAGTTGGGATGCCTAATCTTCAGGTGATCCAAAAGGTAAACTGACCTGGAGGAAGGCCTTTGGAATCCCTGTTCGAGTAGTACAACAGCAGCAGTAACAACAACAACAACAGAAGTACCTCCGCCAACATCGCTGCCTACACTTGCTGTCGCTGGAAAAATGAAAAACGTTAGTTACAAATACATAAATGATACAGACGTTATTGGAGATATCAAGATTTTAAGACAATATTGGCTGATATATTCATGTTATTAAAGAAATATCTCACAAATACAGGAACTTTTGTTATACACACATATATATATATATATATATATATATATATATATATAAATAATCAACACCTCACCCCGCCAGGATTCGAACCCACAGCTCACGACTGTGACCGAGGAACGCTACCTCTAGACCACCAGGATACTAAAAGCAGTCCTAGACTCTGTTATATTTCACACAAATCCTGTTCAACGAGCTTATGGCACCGTGAACCTCTAATGGGGCCTACCCGTATCACTTAGGTGGTCAGAGTAACGTTTTACCAAATCCGGCTTCGAAACATGAGGATCCATATATATTTTATTAGCTCAATAAAGCACGCGGACTTCTACATATGATCAACACCTCACCCCGCCAGGATTCGAACCCACGGCCACGACTGTGACCGGGGAACGCTACCTCTACACCACCAGGATACTAAAAAAAGTGCTAGACTCTGTTATATTTCACACAAAGCCTGTTCAACGAGCTTATGGCGCCGTGAACATTTAATGGGGACTACCCGTATCACTTAGGTGGTCAGAGTAACGTTTTACCAAATCCGGCTTCGAAACACGAGGATCTATATATATTTGATTAGCCCAATAAAGCACGCGGACTTCTACATATAATCAACACCTCACCCCGCCAGGATTCGAACCCACGGCCACGACTGTGACCGGGGAACGCTACCTCTAGACCACCAGGACACTAAAAGCAGTCCTAGACTCTGTTATATTTCACACAAAGCCTGTTCTACGAGCTTATGGCGCTGTGAACCTCTAATGGGGACTACCCGTATCACTTAGGTGGTCAGGTTCAGGGCGCCATAAGCTCGTTGAACAAGCTTTGTGTGAAATATAACAGAGTCTAGGACTGCTTTTAGTATGCTGATAACTACAACAACAGAAGTTCCCAAGAGCTTTCGTGTACTTCACATCTCCAGGGGTGAGTACAGACTAAGGAGAAATACTTGAGAAGGCTAATATATACAGTACTGTAGAGGAGAGTGAGATCAAGTCCCTAGGGGACAGCAGGGGTCCACAATGTTCCGGTCATAAGGCAGTGACCCGTACTAATCTTCTTAATCCAAAGAAATTGACTGTGCCATCTCTAAGCACAGTTGCTGTCCGTAGTCAGGTCATAGGATAAGATGACCCAACCATCTCACCTGGTTACAAATCTTCTTAATCACAAAATTATCCAGTTGAGTAGATGTAAATAACAAAATAGAAGCACAACACATAGTATAAGAGTACAGTATATTAATCAAACACATCGGTGGGTCTCACTGATACAGACACTTGGTTCCTCATAGATAAGATACAGTATTTCATGACAAGGTCATCCTCGCCCTCCTATACAGTTCGATTATAACAGATCCTATATAAATTCATCTTATGATTAAATACCGTAACGCTTCCTGGGGATTAGAATTGGTTCGCGTTAGGGTGGTTATTTTTAAGGTTAAATAAGCTAAGGGTTAACCTCTAGGTGATCCAGTGTTACTTATATGTTGTTGAGTATCAGTAAAGAGTATTGAACTCACGAGGATAGATATTAAAGGAATAGGTTTCGACTACACAGACTCAACTGACCACAACCTCCATCCTTGCTGTGTTTTTATTTTATACTTTTAATCGCTTACCACCAAAGACAGTAAACTCAATAGAAGACATGTGGTCAATTATAACTTAAGGGGACTATACACTTTCAGTTAACACCCGCCATTGTGAGTTGGGTGCGCGATGGTCACTTGGCACAATGTTATCACTGATGAGTCATGATGATACTCACATCTGCCTACTCACTACTGTGTATTCGTTTTCGTTCATTAATAAGAAGAGATTACCATTATTACTTGTTATATTGTAAATTAGTGAATATTAAAATGATGTGAAGTAGTATGAATATAGAGGCCGAGAAAAATACTGATCGTGGATACTAGACGTTCAGCGTTAGTTATTGGGAGTTCGATAATTCGGAAAATCAATATACAAGTTCACAGTGATTCAGCATTACATAGACAATCAAAACAGAAATAGTAGGACAGAAGTCACCACTGTCTTCAAGGTTGGTGAGGCGGAATTTTTTTGTTGGTTAATAATTTTAATCTCACTGGTAGTACTAGACCCCACTTACTTTCAACGGTTTTTAACTGAGAAATTGCTAAATATATTATCTAGTCGTTATTAAGTATCAATTATGATATCATGTAACAAAACTCACGAGATAACTTGAAGAAGTACACACACACTGTCGACAGCAAACACACAACTGTCTGCCTGAGCGCCTGGCAGCGGCGTGGGCCGCGCTGTACAGCCTGTACCCACTTAAACCCAATCTATTCAGTAGGGGCGGATCCAGGGGAGGGGGTCCTGGGTGTCCGGACCCCCCTCTTTACAAAAGAAAATTCCACTTCCATTTCGTTAATGCAATATTGTACTCAGGCTTTTTTGTATGGTAAAAAGTAATTCCCGTATTATTGACTTCAGAATGTCTCCTAATTTCAAGTGCACATGGCTTCAAAATGGCCTAAATATGCCCATGATATAGGTAAGGTTTCCTGGGGGTTGGGGCTTACAGCACCCCCCCCCCCACCAAACCCCCCAGCTGAGTGGGAAAGCTGTGCTCGCCACCCACAACTTCTTGGACCCCCTTTTGACATTCCTGGATCTGCCCCTGTGACCTAGTACACCCGAGCACAACCTAGATAGGCCTGGGAAATTCTAGAACGCTCTACTCTGATCGAGGCTTACAATATGAAATGAATCATAAAAAAAAATTGATGCAATTCATTCTAGAGAATTCTTACATAGATAATACTTCCATACATACAAGAAAATGTCCCTAAACTTACCAAAATAACTTCTGCTTGGAATAGAAAATAATCAAAACACCTAGTTTACAAAAGTTATAATACCAAATTATACCTCGCCATAGCAATATATATTATATAATACAATCAGAGTAGTTTTGAGTACCCATCTAAGTTCTGCACTGTGTAAATATTTGTTTTATATGACCTGGACTTTGGCACGATACCTAGCTGTTTTTCTGGTGAATTTCACTGTGTTTTGCAAGATTTAAATATTCATTTCAAGAAATTCAAGGTCATATCCTAAAACGAATATTAACCCAACAAGAATTGTGGTTATAAAAGTAACTTCCCACAAAACACTTATATATTAATATTAACTTACCCTTTTTTTATCTTTGGGAAATCGATGAAATTTAAGATAGTTGTAATTCATCTTGTCTTTCCCACACATGCCACAGTGTTGGGTACTTGTCTTGGGAACTATTTTTACACGAACAATTTGCTAATTTGGAAAAGTTAAAATTCGAGGATATTAACACTTAACCGCTGTGCCCTATTTGTTTACATATCTGTCAATCACTTGATTGACAATAATAATTTCCAGTTCCGGAATAATCAGAGATACAGCATAAGACACCCAGAGCTACCAATGCCAACCCCTGTGGGGTACTCTCAGTCCCTGACGCTCCCTTCCACATCTCTTAAAAATTATCTATTGTCTAAATATTAATGTTTTTTGTAACTCCATATTTTATACTTTTACTTTCATTGTACAATATCAGAAATTGTCATGTAGATATATAGAAATTACCTTTGCAATAATTATATATTTGCCGACAAGAAATGATACTGACAGCTTCTGTCCTCTTGTTTCATCTCATAGTGTTGGCGCTTATGTTGCACTAAGTGGTCCCGTAAAAATTATCGTGCACTCTACTGCACGATAAACTAACTTGTAACCTTGATCTTTGAACCCATGTAAACTAAGCTTTTTTCCCGGCTTTATATTTAACTACCTTCACTCCCTTAGCTGTAATGTTAGGCATCTACTCACAGCTGGGTGGCCTCAGGCTGCCTCGGACGTTATCATCAATTCTATGGAGGAGAATGCTGCGTTTCCTCAACCCCCGAAGCCCACGACCCTTACCTCCCACGACCTCTGCAGCCCACGGCCACATCCCACGACCCCTACACTCCACGACCCTTGCAGCCGACGATCCTTACACCCCACGACCTCTGCAGCCCACGACCACATCCCACGACCCCTACACTCCACGACCCTTGCAGCCAACGACCCTTACACCCCGCGACCCCTGCATCCCACGAGAACATCCCACGACCCCTGCACCCTACGACCCCTACACCCCACGACCCGTCCATCCCTGACCACTGCTCCTTGTTTAATTTGTCACTCTCTCAACTCTCCCTCACCTTCCGGTACCTCTCCCTTACCCTGTTCCCCGTCCCAACACTCGCTCAACTGTCACACAAACAACAAACTTTATTTCGTAAATGACTAGATTATCTTTTTTTTTCATTTCCTCCTCTTTCAATATACCCCCCTTAATGTGACCTCCACCAACCCTCTCCTCCCCCATCACATCTGTCTGTCCCTCTCCCCTTACTGCACCACACCCATACCTTACCTTCCCCACTACCGAACTGCTCCCTAGTTATTTGCATTTCATTCTCTGTTACGCCCTGAACTGTCTTCCTACTCATCATCAATTTATCAAACACCTAACACCTCACCCTATTGTCAAACATTCCACAGGTGTGATCTTTTTACCTGGTTTAATTAGTTTTGCTTATTCAAACACTAACCAGGGAACACCCATTACCCTATTTCCTCCTGAACGCTCTAACTAATTTCCCCAAAATGTGCATGATCATGGCTCAGACTTTTAGCGTCTTTTACTGTGACAATATTCTGCATGAGAGATAGTTTTACGGAACCCAAAACTTTTCATAAAAAGTAAACTTCAAAAGCTATTTAATTTTTGAATCGACTTATTATCCGTTGGTATAAAGGACAGTTCAAATTAATATTAAAAAAAAGGTTAGTTGAATATATTAGTTAAGTACTCATTTGGATAGATAAATATAGGCCAGGTTAAGGGTAAAAATTACCAATACATTTCTGACAGTATGTGGTATCTACCTGTGGTGGTTCAGATATTGACAATTATTTCTAAAAAAATTTCTACCACATTCTGGAATATTTTCTCGTTTGTAATCACCAAATATAATTCATTCACAATTATATCAAACAAGTAGAATCCAAGGATCGCCTGAGCATTAGACACCCCAGTTTATTTCACCAACAAATTAACCACCCTAACACTAACGCTAACCTAACGTAATTTAAGCTTAAGGCTAAAGATAAACCTAACTTACCTTAATGTAACATACCAGGTGACTTTGCACGGTTAATCCTCAGGTGATATTACGCTAAATATCGCCCTGTCGAGGTAAATTTAGCCGCAAACTTTACTATACTGTACTGTACCGTTTTGAATAGGTTATGCCTCGGTAAGCCAGAATCAGTGATACGTCTCATGAAAATAAAAATCAGATTCGGGTCTGAATCTTGCCAGAAAGCTAAAAAAAAATGCAAATTGTGACAAAATGATATCCATTTACAATTATTTCAAATTTAATCAATACAATTCTACAATATATATAAAACTACACTAAAATAATAGCTCATCAAATAAAAATAGCCATTCGGTATCTTGCAATACAAAAGCAAAACGAAATTTATTCGTTGGGTGGTTGGAGAGGAGACTAAACTAAATTTTGATCTTGGTAAATCAAAGCCGAGATTTTACTTAATATCTAAACAAGTAGACGTGTTGTACTGTAATGGTTTAATGTATTTATATTATAAGTAAATAATATTAATTGCCGTTTCTACACACCAGCAACTAAAAAAAATTATTTAACATTTCTTTCACAGTGAAAGATGGAAGATTTACGTTGTTAGAGGGGCGAAATTGGCGAAGGTACTATCGTGCACAAAAGTCGTATCCACTACCCAGCCAGTGAGGTTTCGAATAGCCTTGAGTCTGAAGTTTCGAAACAGCTCGGAGAAATGCTATGGTCGGCCAACAGATGTCGCCCACTGTAGTGTGTGTGTGGCGGGGGGGGGATAGAGGAGGTGGGGGCTGGATGTGAGGCAGGTTTATTTATTATTTATACCTCCTTAATTTCAAGCTGCCTTCTTAATTACGTTTTGTCTTACAGTTGTTTCTTTATGGTTACGAATTCATGGAACAGGTGCAGTGTCCTGGGTGCTTATTGCCGCTCAGGTCACAATGATACTTTAAAGAATGGAATATATTTAGGATAAAAGTGAAATATTCAAGGATCAGCTAGTTTTACAAAGCGACCACGTCACAATTTTTTTGTTAATCCGACAAAGAGATTATGGTAATATTTATTTATATTCCACCCATCCTTTGCTTAATAAATATTTGTGATAATATGCACTATTATATAATTATATACTTATGTTAAAAAGAGTGGAATGAAAAAGTTATCAGTATTGTAAAATAGTATTCAGACTTAATCTAGTCCCAATTCTTCCAAGTTCCAGTGTTTAAACACCCCACCACAATATGCAAGCTTCATATATTTTGGAGTGTGCTCAGTTACCGTTAATATTGTGTGCTGAACATCATAAGCATTTCAATGATGGTAGCAATTGTAACTATATAATTATATTGTGTTATAAGACAACACATTCCACGACGTGTCATACAGATCATTGTATACCACACAATACCTAATTTGTGGCTCTTAAGTTACTTTGTTATGAATTTTCATGAGATATAGTTTAAGACATCATTAAGGACATGGATTTAAGATAACACTGTAGGTGAGTTAATATATATTAATTGTATTTACAAACAATACTAAAATCCAAACAATACACCAATACACACATCTTAGTATTTGGTCCAGCCACCCATTGCATTCAGGACTTCATCAAGGCGATTAGGGAAGGAGTCGACCAGCTTCAGGCACACCCCTGGTCGTCGACGTATACTCTCCCACACGTCGTAAGCTTTGGCCTGTATTACTGCACAAGTTCGCTGCTCCCCAATATCCCAATCACGTTTCATCATGGCCCAAATATGTTCAATCGGATTAATATCACATCCTAGTGTTGGCCAGTCGATGACCTCAATTTCAGGGTGATCCTGGAGGTAGTCCTTTACTATGTTGCTGGTATGAATGGGACTGTCGTCATGAACCAGCCTGATAGTGTAGGGGGCTGGAACTGCCATAGCCCGGACTGTAGGAATTAGCACTTGCTCCAGGATGTCTACATACTGCTCACCAGTGAAAAGGTCATGGATCTTGACCAGTTCACCTGGCCCATGTGCCCACATCCACCCACAGAATGACACTGACACCCTACCACTCACTGCGCGATGTTTGAATGCGTTTCTCTGGGGGGCCGCCAACACTGCCTTGCTTCGGCTCCCACTGACCTGAACACCGTTTCATTGGTAAAT